GTTATTACTAGAACGAATGACTAGAACTAATACTGGCTGAGTCTTGCGTCTCCCAACTTCCCTCATCTAGCTATTGATACAACAATCAGGGTAACTGGTCTCACAAGGTGAACAAGTCTAAGGCCAGCACACTGCTGACCAGTGCTGCAACTTGTGATGGTCATAGGGCCCTTGGTCCCTTTCTTGTTGGTAGCTTCTTGCCCTCTAGGCCTGGTCCATTAATATCATCACCTTGATCATACTTCTGCTGCTACTGAATTATGAAGGTAAGGAAATGGACTAGGTGACTTCTTAAGCCATCATCCCAAACTCCCTGTTTCATCCCAAAGATTCTTCCCAGAATGTAATGAGGCTTGTCAATTGAAGGGCTCCTTCAAGGCTATCAGAATCAAAGCCTGCAGGGCTGGAAGCCAAATCCGCATTCCCCAAAGTTCCGCCACATACTTCCAGTTGGGGAGCTGACATTTGAATGTCTTTGAAATCCAAGGATACCTACTATGCTCACATCTGGAGGGAAAGAGAAGAAACCTGAGGATTAACCACCTTCAAACATCTCCCTGTACAGAAACGTAGCTGGCATTTATTTCCTAGCAATTCCCTAGCATTTTTACTATCTCCGGCAGGCAGGCTGATCTCAGTTGCAGAGGCCTCATCCCACCCAACCTCTTCCACTCCCTATCATCCCTCTTAGTGCCCAAAAGCACAGCTGTAGACTCCATGAGCCCATCCCTCTGAGGCACCCATCTTTAACATATGCCTAGAGGTTTTCTCCCTGTCCCCTGCTGGAACCCAGCAGTCCCAGGCACGCTCACAATCACAGTAAAAATAGGAAAGGTCAAGAAAGACCTGCCTCCCAAGTGATTGTAAAATCACTGAGTCTAAACAAACTACTGCTTGACAGTGCATGCCACCCAGGATTCTGTACCATGGCCAGCACAAAGCTAGGAATTAATAACCATGAGTGATTATTATGGAAACTGTCTCTAGGAAAAATGACCAGGTTTTTACCATTCAACCTTGGGGAGATAAAATCAGGTCTAGCAGAAAAAAGACAAATGATCTAAGAGCAAATGCAGAACTCCAGATCCAAAGAGCATTCTGAGGCTGATTGTACACCTGTCTCATCTCCCTGTCCCCGCCGAGACAGGTGATGAGAAGGGGAGGAGGGATCTCCATCCAGCCCCTCAACCAACTCCAAACCTGGTGCTCATTCTAGACCCTCCCCACCACCTCCTTCCCCTTATTCTCTTCCACTGTCAATGGCCTCTCTCTAGGTCTCTGCTTGCTCCACTCTGTGGAACCTGTCAACACTCTCCCTGTCTCCTGCCACAGCCTCCCTTCAGCTTTCTCCATCCCACATCAGCCCTGATTCTAGAACATCGCCCTACCTAAAACCCACCAATGAACAAAAATGGCAAATTATTTATCCTTGTGAAGGCTGGGTAATGGTAACATGGAGGATTATTTTATTATTCTCATTACATTTGTGTATGCTTGAAATTGTTCATGATAAAACGAATCTCCAGGGGCCTCCAGGGAACTCAGGGTAAAGTCCGAAGTCTGCAGACTGACATTCAAGACCCTTTAGAATCTGCCCCTGACATTCAAGACTCCTCAGAATCTGCTTGTACCTAATTTAACCAGCTCACCTCCTGGGACTCACCATTCTGCAGTCTCTCTGTTTTCCCAGCCTTTGGAACCCACCTCTCTCTTGCAGCCCTGGTTTTGCCCCATGCATCTTCTTACAGAGCACCTTTGTGCCCTGCGTGGAAAACGCTTCCCAATCCCTTAAAAATCTAATGCAAATGATCCCTGGTTTGGGACACCTTCCCTACCCTCTGGGGACAGGGAAAAGGGCGCCTCCTCAGGCCTGATACACAACAAATACCCAATATGTGTTTAGGAGAGACCAGAACATCTTGGTTAATAGAACGTGTGCAATATTTACTTGAACTTAGGCAAGTAGGGTAATCTTTCTTGGCTTCTGCTGCTGTCTCTATAAAATGAAGATAATAGCGGTACTTATCTCACAAGCCTGGGGTAACGATTCAGCGGTATTCTCTGTGTAAACAGCTTAACACAGTACCTGGCAGAGGGACGGTGAGAAAGGGGGAGAGAGAGAGGGAGAGATGACTGACTTACAGACAGACATACTTCAATCAAAGAATATAGTGGGTAATTATGCGGCTTGTCTTAAGTGAAATGTTTCTAAATCCTACAGGGAAAGCATTGCCGCTTAGCTTTTCCTGGAAGCTAGAGAAATTCGTGGAAAATCGTTGACATTAAAGTCACAATTGCTTTCTCGGGCTCAGGGGCTATTCATACTTTGGAGGGTTTTTAGAAGTCTAGGAGGGCCCCGGGCCCTCCTATTTGGAAGGATCCTGCAGGGTCTGTGCCTGGGAGCGGGCCCGAAATCCGGGGGCTAGAAGGGCAAGGGGTTCGCACGAAAATCAGCCCCGGTGACAGTCCCCAGTCTGTGGGGTCTCGGTGAGCTCGGGGCCCCTGGGGTGGGAACCCGCAGTGAGAAAATCTGAGTGGGATCTGGTGCAGGGTCCCCCACCCGCCAGCCCCGCTCCCCTGGGCCGCCGCGGCCTCGTGCGTCACCGGCGCGGGCGGGGGCCGAGGGGAGGGCGGCACCGCAAGGTGAGGGCACCGCTCTGCCTTAAGACGCCGCGCGCCCCCGCTGCCTCTCAGAGCTTGCAGCGCGGCGCGCCGGCCGGACCTGCGGGCACAGACGCTGTGCCCCGCTCCCGCCGCGCCAGCAGCGCCCACTGCCCGGTGCCAGCTCGCAGCTGCCCGCGCCCCGAGAGGCGGCCGGGACAAGCGCGAGGAGCCCCGAAGGACTCGCACGCAGCGCCGGCGACGCAACGTCCGCAGCAGCAACAGGTAAGCGGCCCGGCCCTACTCCGGGCGCCGTGGCCCCCAGCACCCGGCCGGCCCCTGAGCCTGGGAGCCCCCGACGCCCGGTTGCAGAGACCCGACGGCTGCTGAGCTAACCGGAGCGGTGGCCCGCGGTGCAGCCCCTTCTCACCTTTCCCTGGCCAACCTCCTGCCCTCACGTTTTCCCTCGCACTTTTTCTCGTGCGTTCTTTTCCTCCCTCCCTCTCCATTCTCTCGTTTTTTCCTCACCCTTTCCCTCTTCCTCTGCTTGTTCTCTTTTCTTATTCTCTTTTTTGCTTTTTCTGTCTGCGTCTCTCCCATTCTCTCAGTCTTGCTCTCTCATTCTCTCTCACTCTCTCATTTGTTCTTTTTTATGTCTCTCTCCCTCTCTGTTGCTCACTTTCTCTCTCTCTCTCTCTCTCTCTCTCTCTCTCTCTCTCTCTCTCTCTGTATGTATCTCATTATTTCGCTGTCTCTCGTTTTCTTTCTGTCTCTCTGCCCCTTAATGTCTCTCATCCTATCTCTCTCAGACTCTCCCGACCACCTTGCACCCTTGCATTTTTTCGCGTTCTCCCCAACTCCTCTCCCACTCCCCCTGGCTGCTCCCCGAGACCATGCAGACTAGAGAAAACAAGGAGGATACCGAATTGGGATGGGGTGGTGAGGGTAGGGGAGCTCAATAGGCATCCTCCTTGCATTTTCCAGTCGTCATTGCGCTGCTGAGAAAATAGGGGTTTTATTAGCCAAAGCCCGCAGTGGCCAGGGAGGCAAGTGGTTTCCGTGGCAAAATAAAGTCCACAGAGAGACAGAGATCCAAACAGACAGAGATCCAGCCAGAGAAAATCCGAAGTGAGGGGCGGTGGGAAAAAAGATGTAGAGAAACAGAGGTGCGCACACACTCAAAGATACAAAAAAGGTGTTTAGCCAGAGTCCTGGGGTGCCAGGAAAGTGAAGGACAGAGAAACCAGCTAGAAAGTGCACATACTAAAGAGCTTGAGAGACAGGTGAGACAAACAGTAAGAGTGTTAGAGACCAATGGGGAAAGAGACAGTCAGAGCAATGCAGAGAGAACGTGGGCAGGGAGAGATAAAAACCACACGGAGAGACACAGAGACAAGCGGGTCCGAGAAAGACAGAGTAAGCGCATACGTGCTAGTGAGAGAAAGAAGACACCTAGAGAACCCGAGGGAGGCGGAAAACAAGGGAGTTGGAGAGACACGGAGACTGGCAGAGACACAGCTAGCGACATTGAACAGGTGCGCTAGAGACCGACAAAGGTGACCTGTTAGGGAAATAGACTGAGAGAGAAATGGAGACACAAGAGAGCATTAGGGAAAGACAGAGACGCACACTCACTAGCGAGCGACACAGTGACAAGCAGAGACACAGAACGGATCAGAAAGAGACTGAGGGAGAGACGGGGGCAGGATTGGGAGAAAGACTGGAAGCGAGAGCGCGCGCCCTGCACAGAAAGTGCGCTAGCGAAAGAGACAAACACAGAGAGACTGAGAGACAAAGTGGGAGTGGAAGAGAGAAATGGGAGTAACAGACAGAAAGGAAAGAGAGAGACATTGTGCACGTGCTATCAAGAGACGGAGAAACAGAGGCAGACAGGAGAAACAAGGATGAGAAAGAACCTGGAAACAGTGAGACATATACAGACACACACCCCGAGAGATACAGAAAAAAAGTGCGTTAGCGGGAGACACTGGAGAGAGACAGAAACTGACGGTCTTAAACAGGCAGAAACAGAGAGCGCACGCGCATGCGCTAGCGGGAGAGACCTAAACTCCCGAGAGCCAGAGACAGTGTGAGAGACAAGCAGAGAAAACGCGCGCACGCGCGCGCCGGCAGGAGAAACAGATGAGAGGAAATCAGAGCCCTGGAGAGAGACAGGCAGACAGATCTGGAGAGTCAGAAAAGGAGCCATAGAAGCTGCCCGTACTCGGGATGGGGCCGTGCGGGAATCCGGGGGAAGGGGGTCCTGCAGCGCCCTTGCGAGGCGCGGAGGCTTCTCCCCTTGGCGGGTGACTAACTCCGCCTGCGTGTTTCTTTTGTCCCCAGCATAGGCACTGAGTGCGGTCTGTGCACCCCTTTGCCGCCCACGGGTGCCCGCGCTGAGCCTGCACCCTGTCTCACACCCTCTGGCTGTTGCCATGACGTCCGCCTGCACCAACAGCACGCGCGAGAGTAACAGCAGCCACACGTGCATGCCCCTCTCCAAAATGCCCATCAGCCTGGCTCACGGCATCATCCGGTCAGTCGTGCTGCTTATCTTCCTCGTCGCCTCTTTCGTCGGCAACATAGTGCTGGCAGTAGTGCTGCAGCGCAAGCCGCAGCTGCTGCAGGTCACCAACCGTTTTATCTTTAACCTCCTCGTCACCGACCTACTGCAGGTTTTGCTCGTGGCCCCCTGGGTGGTGGCCACCTCTGTGCCTCTCTTCTGGCCCCTCAACAGCCACTTCTGCACGGCCCTGGTTAGCCTCACCCACCTGTTCGCCTTCGCTAGTGTCAACACCATTGTCGTGGTGTCAATAGATCGCTACCTGTCCATCATCCACCCTCTCTCCTACCCATCCAAGATGACCCAGCGCCGTGGTTACAGGCTCCTCTACGGCACCTGGATTGTGGCCATTCTGCAGAGCACCCCTCCACTCTACGGCTGGGGCCAGGCTGCCTTTGATGAGCGCAATGCCCTCTGCTCCATGATCTGGGGATCCAGCCCCAGCTACGCTATTCTCAGCGTGGTGTTCTTCATGGTCATTCCACTGATTGTCATGATTGCCTGCTACTCAGTAGTGTTCGGTGCAGCACGGAGGCAGCATGCTCTGCTGTACAATGCCAAGAGCCACAACTTGGAGGTGCGAGCCAAGGACTGTGTAGAGAATGGGGATGAAGAGGGAGCAAAGAAGAAGAAGAAGTTCCGGGGTAAAACTGAGTTTCACCTCCAGGATGAAGGTGAGGTCAAGGCCAAGGAGGGCAGCATGGAAGCCAAGGACAGCAGCCTGAAGGCCAAGGAAGGAAGCACGGTGACCAGTGAGGGCAGTGTGAGGGCCAGGGGCAGCAAGGAGGTCAGAGAGAGCAGCATGGTGGCCAGCAACAGCAGCCTAGAGGGTAAGGAAAGCGGCACCAAAGTTGAGGGGAAAAGCATGAAGGCAGACAAGGGTCGCACAGAGGTCAACCAGTGCAGCATTGACTTGGGTGAAGATGACATGGAGTTTGGTGAAGACTACATCAATTTCAGTGAGGATGATGTCGAGGCAGTGCACCTCCCCGAGAGCCTCCCACCCAGTCGTCGTAACAGCAACAGTGACCCTCCTCTGCCCAGATGCTACCAGTGCAAAGCTGCTAAAGTGATCTTCATCATCATTTTCTCCTACGTGATATCCCTGGGGCCCTACTGCCTTTTAGCAGTCCTGGCCCTGTGGGTGGATGTCGAAACCAAGGTACCCCAGTGGGTGATCACCATAATAATCTGGCTTTTCTTCCTGCAGTGCTGCATTCACCCCTACATCTATGGCTACATGCACAAGACCATTAAGAAGGAATTCAAGGATGTGCTGAGCAAGTTATTCTGCAAGAAAAAGCCCCCAAAAGAAGATAGCCGCCCAGACCTGCCTGGAACCGAAGCTGGGACTGAAGGCAAGTTTGTCTCTTCCCACGATTCTGCTACTTCTCCTTGAAGTTAGTTATAAGGCAAACCTTGAACTGTCCATAACAAGAACAGCTTTCTTTTCAATGGACCCACAATCCATTAATGCCAAACCATACCATTTCAGGCAAAGGTGTTGCACACATGCTCTTCACCACAAGGTAGATAAATACATGGAAGACGTAGGAACTGGGGTCTTTCCTTAAAAGCATGAACTTGAGGATTCTGACTTAAGTTTTTCTCCCAAAGGTTATTAGGCTCTAAATTCTTAAAGCAGCAAGTGCTGCCCATTTTGGATGTGTACTTAGTATTCTGTCTTTCCAGAGCTACAACGTGCCAACTTTAGCTCTGAGGGAAAGGGAAGTTGATGCCTGTGAACTTAAGGACTTTTTGGCCCTTGGGCCAGGGCTACAGCTTATGTTCAACTGAAAGAAAGGTGATGGACCAAATCATTCATGAAGCCCAAGAAACAGAACCTAATGGACTGAACTGAACAGCCCCACAGTTGGGTGCAGAGACTGCTATGCAAAGTAAAACAAAAGACCTCGTGCAGTTAAAATCTCAAGAAGGTTTCTAGATCCCCTAAAGAGAACCAGAAAAGTAGAAGGGCATGTATGAAATGGGAACCTAGTCCAAGGGAAAAGATTGAGAAATAACACGTATCCGGGGGGGCTTTTTTTCCTATAAAATCTTGGGTTTATGCATGGGCTGGGACTGAGTTCATTAAGTGCAAATGGAAAATTGTCAATTGACACAAATATTTTCTGTCTTGTGTTGAATAATAGCAGGGTGGAAATCATGCCACTATTTCACAACTTCCCTATGTGACTGAATTGAGATGCTGGTGAGAAATCTTCAGATCTCTGCCAGCATTTGTGTTTTCCTTTGGTTTGTTTTTGTCAAATAAGTCTTTTTTAGTCAAACAGTATTTATAGAAAAAAGGAAATTCAACATGAGATCATAGACAGTAAATATGATCTCCATATGGGGAGTAAGGAAGGCAGAATGAACAGTTTTCTTCCTCCAGGCATACCCATGAGTCTTTTCCACCTGTGGCTCTTTTTAAAGCTTTTAAGCTCTCTGCAGATGTGAGAGAGAAATATCAGAGAGTCAGAAATGACAAAGAGGATGGTTTCATAATACCTGGAAAACAGCTGCCCTATTCCAAACAGTCCTTAAATCAAAGCATTCAGGTCAGACGTATGCTAATTATTGCTGTTGAAACGTATCACTTTGGAAAAACTTTTACAACATCTAATTTATCCCTAGGGTCAATTCACAGGAAAATTTCTCAAATCTCGAAACCCAAAATCACTTTGGGCAAGGATATATGTATATATTTCTGAGGGCATGGGCCATATCTATATGACCAAGTAACATGGAACCAAAAAAACAGTCAAGCCAGTGTTTTTGATCCTCCTGTAGAACAAGTTAAAGCAACTCTAAAACCAATCAACTGCTCATGTAGAAATCCACTGCCAATATGGGTGGAGGGAGTTTTTGGTTGAAAATAGTTAATCAGGTAGTTGCATGACATAAGATGATCATCTTCAGAGTTTAGCCTGATTCTTGTGTGATTGCCATGCCTTTATCAGAACTCAAGTTTCATTTAAATAAATGCCCAGCTCATTTATATTCTTTTATCTCTTCCTCCTCACAGATTTCAACATGAGCTTCTCAAGGGGGAGAGGTAAACAGCAATGTATTTGGACTGAGACTAACTCTGCATGGGAATTTGGGATTGCCATGTTCAGAATTTAGGAAAGGAGAGGGAATAGAACCAAATAGTATAGAGATGACCCATCAAATAAAAATACCACAATAACCTTATTAATTTCAACTCCATTAATTTGAAACTTGTAGTTATTCAGACAAGGCATGGGGGCTGAAGTTTACCCTTACACTATCATTTATTTTTCTACCAAAATACATAAAGTGAATTAACAGTTATAAATTTGTTCTACTAATTTATCACCAAACTCTTGTACTTACCTGTCCTTAAAGGATATCTGGGTGAATAAATGGCCTATGTGATCAGTCCTTCTATGGGGGAGGGGTAGTGCCTTGAGATCTGTTCAAATGGTCAAAGGAGTTCAAGGTAGCTGTAGCCTATCCTTTGAGTAGAAATGTTTACTTGGGTAGGAAACAGGACTTCGAACATAAGTGTGTCTTCAAATATTGTGTTGAAACTGAACCTCTTATTTTATTTTTAAAGCTCACCCCTTCAAAGTGTATCAGAGAAAATTGTTTGCCAAAATCCCAAATCAAAATGGAACCAGAACCTGTACGAGTATGGTAAGTCCATTTAACAGCACACACAACATTCTCAAGGGCACCGAGATTCCCTGCTTTCCTTTTTGAAGTTCCTCTTTTCCTTATTTTAGTCGTTGTCCATTATGTTGGTAAACTGAATTCCTCAAAAGTGAAGACCTTTTGAAAATATGAACCTGGAAAAGAGGACCTTTTAATTAAGAGCATTCTGCTTTGATGACATATTCTTCTTAATGAACAGTAAGGCCTCTGGTTAACTTGGAGATAGCAAGTACTTGAAATTTTTTGCTATTTTTAATAAAGCACTATCACTTTAATGAGGTTTTACTGCACATACTGTTTTGTCATTTGAAAATCTGAAAGCGCGCACATAAAAAAAGTCTTCATTAGCCTCACAGAACCTCATGTGTAATAGCTTCCCCTAAATGTTTTTAAGGGACGTATTCTTTTGCCAAAGCCACTTCATATGTGCAGTAAAAAAAATCCGTTAAAGTACAGGGGCCAGACAACCCAGTCTATGAAATGATGTGATTTTAAATTTAATGATTTTCCTTATTTACGAATAATAGAGCATCTAGTTTGCCAAGAAGTCGCAGGTGCTTTGACTAACACACCAATTTCTACAAGCTCGGGAAGGCAGTAATAGGGAGCGAGCCCTGGGCTTCTTTGACTTCTATGATGCTAGGGTCCCTCTTCTCTGACGCTACAAGTAGCAGTTGCTTGAAAGGCCTCTGCACTTTCAGCTCCCTACTTACCTCTTGCCATCAGCCCACTGCCTTCACCCTCCTCACTCCCTCTCCCTCTGCTGCACTGGCCCTTCAGGAATAGTCCATGCTCGAAGTTCTGCGTGTTCACCTACCCCCCATCCATCCCTTCCCAACCCAGAGCTGACAGATTCACAGGGACCTGTGGTCCTGTGGAAGCAGGGAAGGAGAGAAGTGAGCCATAAGAGTGACCAGCAATTAAAGGTATTTTTCTGTCTCCTGCCCAACTCCAATCTAATTTAGAGATGACGGGATACCTACTTCAAATTCAAGAGGTAAGGAAAAGTGCCATTTATTATTAAGGAGAAGGTAGACAGTTCATTTTTTACCAAAAAAAGCACTTGATATTACACATCACTAGAGGAATAGTCAGTCCTGTCGATACTGTCCAATTATTTCAGCCAAAAACAAAACAAAACAAAACAAAACAAAACACTAAAAAATCTTTTACCTACAAAATTATAAGATGCCCAACATTGCCTTATTTTTTTTTCCTGTTATCACAGTAGCACAGTAGTTCAGTAGTTAAGGTATAGGGCCCGAAACATTGCCTTATTTTATACATAATTAGCCAATTAAGCTAGATAAAGTTACTTCAAAAAGATTTTTTCATACTACCTAAAGAATAATTTGCAAGATTAAACTAGGCTTACTTAAACTTTGCCAAAAAGCTCTTAAAACTGTCTAAAATACATCATTTGGAAGAAAAAAAATGCATCATCTGATAATTTGAACTCAAGATAAAATCCTCACAAGTCATTGAGATGAAACAATTTAAACTCCTGGATAGCATTTTTCTCTCACAACCAACTTGCCCAATATTTTGAGGGGAAAAAAAAAAAAAAAAAAAAAAAAAAAAAAAAGTGTTTTCCTCTCATAATGTCTTTTCTGTTGTATTCCTCTTTAAGACAGACCTCATGCTGTCAGGAGAGGTTTCTCTAAGCAAAATGCCATTTCCTTCTAGAGCAGAGAAAAGATTACAGGAACACTTGGCTGCTAGCCAGTGTCCAAGATAAGGAGAGAAAATCTGGCCAGTCGATGGCTTTTAACCCTCTCCCTCCTTATCTCTTTCTCTTACTTTCTATGGGCTGGACTAGTGCTCTCGACCCCTTAAAGCCCCTCTAAGCTTAGGCATAAGGAGACAGAAGCAATGAGCTGGAAACAGCAGATGCGATAGCCTAAAATCCAAAAAGAAGGGAAATCCTTGTCATAAAATCTTTCCAATTACTTAGCAATAATCTCTCCCTCTACAGGAAATGCCCAGCTAGCTTACAGCAGTTTTTTTGCCATAAGCAACAAAACTGGTTAGAGGAAGAAACAGGAAAGCTAAAATCCACTGAAATAGGAGGAAACAGGAAAGCCAAAATCCGCTGAACTCGGCCACTGATTGCCAGGTCACTAACAAGTTCACTGCTCTTTGGTAAATAAAATAAGAGCCCTCAAGGTAAATGAAGGTTGCCAATAGGTGTCAAGTATTTCCATCATTGCCTCCCAAAGCCTGCATATCTCAGAGTACACACACCAGGGGAAAACCACAGTGACTTGTTCACTCAGCAGGAGGTTTACTATGTCTGAGGAATAATTACTCTACCTGTCTTGTTCTAAAATGCAGAGAAAAACAAGATTGGATTTAGTCTGGTGTTTCAGACGTGAGTGGATTTTCCCCCCTCTTCATCTGTGCTACAACTTAATGTTAAAAATGTGGTATTTTCATCTTGTTTTAGTGGTATAGTATTTTTTGTAGTAATTCTCCTGAATGTAAACTATACCTGTATATAAAATGTAAGTGTTCTTGGAGATATGGTGCTAGATATTAGATTGTATGTGTTTGTAGATAGTGTCGTCCTCAAAAATGGGTAGTATGTATATGTAAAGTTAGTTAATAAAATGCATGCAAAATTCAATGTATGACCTACACCTTGGTCAGTTTCTGATGTAGAACATAGTACATTTGTTTTTTAATTTTATTTTTAAATTATATACTACAGGATATGTA